CCCCCCACCCCCCACCCACACCAAACCAAGGAAAAACCCCGAGTTGGTAAACATCATTTTCGAAGGCCATACTCTATAGTTTCTCTAAAAGGCTTTAGTTCAGGTGTAAGAGTGCTAACACATATTAGGTTAGGTGCACGTTATGTGTAACAGTCCAGCCCATTAGTAATATTACAAAGAAAAAAATACGCTACATAACAAATATATACACTATATTTATTATACATAGCTATACTTTCAGAGAATTACCATTTGTAGTTATACTTGAATTTTAAAGTACATCCACATATAGCACTAAAATAAGAGATCAACCGTTTTGAACTGAACACAAGAGAGCAACAAGTTCTCGTAACTTAATTGGTTAGACCACCTGCTTAGTAAACGGAGGTCTTGAGTTCAACTCTTAGTGAGAGAGCATTCTATTTTTCTATATTTCTGTATTTCATGTTGGTTGTATTCGTTTGCGCGAACGAATACAGTCGATACAAGTTGTATCTTTTGTATACAGCCCCCATATTTTGTCTTGATTGTATTCATTGCACGAACATATATAGTTGATAAGATTATAATGATAATTTGGCAAACTATAGTTACGTACGGTAATTAGGCTCTAAATGCAGTGTTTTATAAAAAATTCTCTATTATTAATAATGCATAGTCTATAACAGTTCAATCCACTAGTAATATTATCTGGTTTGAGTCTAGAACCTCACCATCACAAGGGCTTAAGGCTTGTATGTTGGATTGCTTAGGGCGTCACATTACGAGTTTGAACATGCTATAAACTAACGGCAAAGTCTGATATTTAAGTAGAAAATGATAGAATACAAACTCATTATCCACCGAATTTTGAATTATGCTGGCCCAAGTGAATTTCTCGGTTAGAGAAAAACGTGATGTGTTGGTTGGTATCATCTGCATAAGAATTATGGCAGGTCTCTTGTAATACTAGTTGAACAATAAACAGGAGGAAACCTGCTCATTGAATTTAGTGATAGAAATAAAATAGCAAAACTTTTGTCATAATCCCAACAGATAAAACCATGTCATTATCTGGCCTTTTGGCATTACACATTTGGAATTCAAAATTTGAATGAAGCAAAATTGCAGCTTGTGAAAGGGGCCAAAAAGGGTTTGGAATGTGGTCCCAATTTTAATTGCTACTCTAATAGGGCAAGAGTTTATTAAAAATATAGCCAACCACCAATGGACCACTTCTGTTAATTCAAGTCCTGGTCTCAAAATAAAAATCATATACCCTAAATTAAAATGATGCACAACTACTCTTGAATTTTGGCCATTCATTCAAGAAATAGGATAACAACTGAGCCTTAATTCTTGTTCTTTACCATCTGCAAAGAGATAATAAGTACAAATTTTGACATTGAACTTTGTTTTCAAGACGTGACCACTTTTTTGGCCAAATCTCGTGATAACAATGACATTTCTTGTTTTTTTGGCAAAAGTTCAGCAAAAGTCAGTGACAGATCACAGAACATCACTGGTTTTCAACTTCAGAACTTTCCTCTTTTTTCTGTGGTTTGAACATGACTTATTCATAGGGTAATGCCAATGTAAAATTTACCTATGCTTCCCACATGCACCACTTTTCATTAATAACCATTTATTTCCTTTTCAGCTTGAACTTTGACGACCCTCTTAGATGCATACTTCGTTTTCCTTAAATACACTTTTAACAAACAAGAGAAAATACCTCTTTTAAATGGTGCAAGTGTTCTCTGAAAAAGAAAGTGAGAGCATTCTCTATAAGGAATCAATTGAGAATGAAATGCAAGCCATTTCTTCTGTCCTAATTATTTTACCTTCTCTTGGATAAATAGTTACTCAAAAGTAATATTTACCAAAAAAAACTACAAAGTGTAGAACTGTCAAAGGATGCACAAATGTAGTATGTTAAAAAACATGGTTAAAATTATAGTATAAAAAATAATAATTTAGATCTAGCAAAATCAACTATACCCCTGAAATGTATCAATAACATAACAAAGGCAAATAATTGGAACATCATAATGTGGCATTATTACAGTGCATGTGCACCCAGTTACTAGGGATAACAAAAAAAAACTTTTGATTTGCTGGAAATAGTGTGTCATCCAAGGCGGAGCAAAGATTTTAAGCTTATGGATTCTGGATTATAATCGTTAATTATTGGGTTCTAAATTAATCATTTATACATACTCAATGGATTTTGTAAGACAATCACAAGGTTCGAATCAAAGTTACTGAAATTCAGCCGAACATTGTCCCAACACTCTACCTCTGCCACTGCCATTAGCCATACCATAATCATTCAAAATATTACGACAGAATCAGGTATTCAGTGAAGTAATCGAGGTAAAAAAAAATGAATCGTACACTATTGTCATTATCTTAAGAAAACAATTCTCAGCAAGCAAATCTCAGAGGTACTGTTGTCGAGTAAAAAGAGAGTCTTCTTCTTTCAGCTAAGCAGCAAAACGGAAAATGATTTTGTACAGCTGCTTTTAAAATAATAGCCGAAAAATATATATTTTTTGTATATTTTTGTATACATATACATTCAAAATATTATATATAAAAAGTATATAATTTTATATATTTTTTCGGCTATCGAATATAAATAGTTGCCGACGGACCAAAAAGTGTAAAAAACCCTCAGCAAAAACCATCAACTATGACTGAAATATTAGAGCAACAAATTAAAAGGACTGTCTATTGCTTAAAAACAGATTAACAATCCAGAGAACTTACAATCAAATCTCTATTTTCTATCTGGAAACTAAAATTAATACAAGAGAGGGAGGCAATTGCTGTACGTTTGGTTAATAGATGAAAAGAGGTGAAAAAAAATAAAGAAATTTAAACCTCTTCATCTAAACTTAGAAAGGGAATTAAACCATAACAGATTCATTATCAACTGGCTTGTAAGTTGAAGGTGAAGAAGCCAATGGAATTACCTTTACAGAAGTTGAATTCTGAACTTGTAATTGTTGAAGTGGCTCTCTCAATTTGCTCTTACCAAGAAATGAAATAAATGACCCTTTCTCCTCATTAGCAAGTCTCTTGTCGCCTTCTTGAGCTGAGGGTCTCCTGGAAACAACCTCTCTATCCCTCGGGGTTGGGATAAGGTTTGCGTAAACATTACCCTCCCCGGACCCAACTTGTTGTTGTCGTTGTTTCTCCTCATTAGCAAATGGTTTTTTAATTGCAGAATCTTGAAAAGAAATCTCATTTTTTAGACCCCTTTTCTCAGCTTCTTCAATCAATTTTCTTATAAGTTTCTCTTCAGCATCTCTTAGGAACTTGAATTTTGGTGGGGGTGAAGATCTTAATCTGTTTAGTTCAGTTTCTGTTGAAGATTCAAAGAGAGGATTGAATCCTTGGCAATTGTAAGAATCAAGATTGTGACCTTTAATTGGTGGTGAAGATAAAGGAGTAAGAATTAAGTCACTTAAACTTCTTGTTCTTGAACAAGTTCTACTTCTTTCACCTCTTGATTTACCATCTTCAGATTCCAAATCTTCCTTTGTTTCCTCTTTAATTGTAAATAAAAATCTTGGAGGTCCACAAAGATTGTGTAACCTCATTAATTCTGACTCCACACTATCTTCACCATACCCTTTTAGTAGCAAATCTTTGCTATTTCCTAACTCCAAATCTTGATCTTGACCATTCATTTCTTGATTTCTCAGTGTGTTGTTTAGTTCTTGACTGCTAATATTGGATACTGAATTAGGCTTCTTCCAACAGAAAAGATGAAAAAGTTCAGTCCCATAACTGCTGCTGCTGCTGTATTCATCCTCTGATTCACTCTTTGGGATTCTTTTCTTTACCCATAATAAGTAATACAACTCTGCTACAAGTCCCATGAGTATACATCCAAAAACAAAACTCAAACCAATTCCTAAACCACTAAAAGATGCCATCTTTTGAGAGGAAAACTCACATCCAAATCAAAAAGCTATAATCTTGAAAAGAAAGAAAAAACCCCTTTTGTGGATTTTCCTTAATGAGCAAAAAGAAGCTGAAATGCCAGTACCTTTTCAATCTAATACTAAGCAAGTGACACTGAAAATTGACAAAAAAAAAAAACTTCAAATTCAACTCGTTGCTACTAATTCCACAAAATCAAGAAAAATCTTTATAGACTCCCTATGAGAATACATCCAAAAACAAAGCTTAAACTAATACCTAAACTATAAAAAGATGCCATTTTTTAGAGGAAAACTCACGTCCAAATCAACTAACTACAATCTTGAAAAACACCTTTTTTTGAATTTTCCTCACTGAGCAAAAAGAAGCTGAAAAGCCAGTATCTTTTCAATCTAATACTAAGCAAGGGACACTGAAAATTGATAAAATTTCAGACTGAAAAACCAATGCAAGTTGTTCCTACTAATTCCACAAAATCAAGAAAACAACTTACAGACGCCCCATTTAAAGTTTTTCTCTGAAACTCAGATCCTGAAAAAAACCACTCATGATACCTCAAAGGAAAAAAGACCCCCTTTTTCGGAACATTAATACATATATTTGCCTGAAACACACGCTAAGAAAAAGCTGCGCCTGTCTGGAAATTTACTGTGGTTATAAGGAGTAAAGAAAGATATTATTACCTTTAAGGCCGGTGGAATTAAACAACATAGGAAAAAAAAAAGGAAATAGAAGAAGGGAAAGAAACTGAACTCATTAATAAGCACTATATATAAGGAAAGTGGCATAAAGTATAAACTGATATTCTATAATTTGAATATCATAATATTATGAGGACATGAAGAGGAGACTCTATAGGGTGTATATTGACTGGCAAGATGGTGTTTTCTGTATTTTAGTGCAAAAAATGGTTGGTTATATGAGTCAGTGTCTTCCGGGGGTATAGCTCTTCACATGGGTTGGGAAAAAGCATGCATTAGATAATATTTGTTTGAACAGGATTTCAGAAGGGTCTTTAATTTTTTTTGGTTTTAAAATTTCGTGGAAGCAGGTAATTATAAAAAAAACATATTAGAAATAACAATTTTCCAAGAATATTTGTATCTGTAATTATTTTTATAAAATTTGTCCCAACATTAATCTGAAAGTAAAAATTTGAATTTTTTTTGACTAATAGCCTGTTTGGCCAAGCTTCTTTGCCAAAAATGTCTTTTTCTAATGTTAAAGTGTTTGGCTAAGCTTTTGAAAGAAAAAATATATATATTTTTGAATAGAAATAAAAATAATTTTTGGGAAGCTGAAATAATAGTTTCTCCTCAAAAATATTTTTTCCAGAAAGTATTTTTGAGAAAAATACGCTTAAAAATACTTTTTAAATGCTTGACAAAATATTAATCACTACTCAAAAGAGTTTTTCAAATTAATTAGTCAAACTCAAACTATTTCTCACCAATTTTTTTTTTTTAAAATAAAAAACCCTTGAAAAAAACACTTTTCAAAATAAGTTGATTTTAGAAGTTTGGCCAACGGGCTAAGCTGGAAAAAAAGATGTTGAGTTTAACATAATCTCAAAAATAGCTCAATATGAGGATTATTTAAAATCGTATAACGATGTTAAAATTCACTCCTTTAACAATGCTTAGAAATGGACATCTAGATTTTAGAACGTGGAGTAATATAATATGAGTGGCCAAACATTATTACCTATCGTATTGTTATGTTAATATGATGTTTGTTTTGATTGTTACTTAAATTTTATTGATCGTATTGTTAAAACCGTCGTTACATAACGACGAAATGTGTCACTTTATGTAACGATCGATTTGGTGTGGTCGCTTCGTTACCTTGTCTTTTTCTCTCTATCTCACCCTTCACTATTATTAAATAATTTTTTTTTATCATTTACCCTACCTTGTCATATTAGTTACCATGTATCATAATTTTTCTTTATAATATTGCAAGTTTATTCTTCATATTGCTGGTGTGTAATATCATGAAACGATGGCAAACTATACAATCTATTCAAACATTGTATTTATCAAACGATATAGTACAATACAATACAGTACGATACGATACATTAATGAAACGATACGTAACAACCATCCAAACAAGCTGTAAGGGGTTGTTTCGAAGGCAAACTATATTGAGACTACTTATGCTGGAAATAATTATACTAAGATTAGTTAGGATGTAATAAGTTATTTTTATATTATTTTTTATTGACTGTTTGATATGTTGTATAATTCTGAGTTCGTCAATTTTACTGAAGTCCATGCACTCGGACCAATATGAAATTCTAACAACGTCTAATTCCAACGTTAATGACAAATTGAGAGTTTGAAAATTATATTTTTTGAATTTTTCTCTTTCTTTTGAACAGGCAACAGCATCTCTTGATCGATATTCTTCATATTAGATGGTTGCTTTAATTTACTGGAAGAATAATGCCCGGCACTCGCTCCGTCCCCTTAAAAAAGAGTATCGAAGTAAAGTCGGTGAACTACAAAGTTTAAGATCACAAATAACAAGATACAATACTTAATTGATCTCTTTTTTTTTTTTTTTT